AGCGTATAATAGATAGGTGTTAAGAATGTGGTGCGAATTAGGGGTTGATTATTGGTCTTTGTACTGAGGCAAACATTTTGTAATAAATAACTGTGAACGATGTTTTTATGTTATAAATCTCGGCATTGTGTGTACCAGGCTTCCTTCAATGTATTTGGAATGAATTTTCTTTTTTTCGTCTTTTGCATGGATGTGAGGGGGTTGTGATAAGAGAGATTTTTTTTGTTTTTCCCATTGCTGTGCCATTTTTATTTATTTTTGCTTATGCTGCTCTCGTGTGCGACTTTTTTTCCTTCCATGGGGTCCTACATGTGTTTTTTCCTTGCCTTCCTCTTTGCTAATAATATCGCGTTACAGCTACTTCCACAAGTTTTGCTCCAATAACCATGTCGTCGAAGCGCGAAAAACTTCCAAAGCTTGGATTCTTTGAGGAATTCATGGTGGGTGGCGTGGCTGCCGGCGTTTCCAAGACCGTCGCTGCCCCCATCGAGCGGGTGAAGTTGTTGGTGCAGAACCAGGGCGAGATGATAAAGCAAGGGCGGCTGGACGCGCCGTACAATGGAGTGGTTGATTGCTTCGCCCGCACGATGAAGACAGAGGGCGTGTACTCGCTCTGGCGAGGCAACCTCTCCAACGTTCTTCGTTATTTCCCGACGCAGGCTCTGAACTTTGCCTTTAAGGACACGTTTAAGCGGATGTTTAACTTCAAGAAGGAGAAGGATGGGTATGCGAAGTGGTTCATGGGCAACATGGCATCTGGTGGCCTTGCTGGCGCTGCCTCGCTGTGCTTTGTCTACTCTCTGGACTACGTCCGTACTCGTCTCGCGAACGACACAAAGTCCGCGAAGAAGGGCGGTGAGCGTCAGTTCAACGGCCTTGTGGACTGCTACGTGAAGACGTGGAAGAGTGACGGCATCGTTGGGCTCTACCGTGGATTCATGGTCTCGTGCGTGGGTATCGTGGTGTACCGCGGCTTCTACTTTGGCTTGTACGATACTCTTCAGCCAATGCTTCCCGTGGACACCTTTATTGTGAACTTTTTGCTTGGGTGGGCCGTGACGATCGTTGCCGGTCTTCTCTCCTACCCGTTGGACACTGTCCGCCGTCGCATGATGATGACATCCGGTGCCTCCGTCAAGTACAAGAACTCAATGGACTGCATGATGCAGGTCATCAAACAGGAGGGTGCTGTATCTCTGATGCGTGGTGCTGGAGCGAACATTTTGCGTGGCATCGCCGGTGCCGGTGTACTCGCCGGTGTGGACGCGCTAAAACCGATGTACATCCGGTGGCGCATGGCTGATCAGTTGAAGAAGTAGTAGCGTATAATAGATAGGTGTTAAGAATGTGGTGCGAATTAGGGGTTGATTATTGGTCTTTGTACTGAGGCAAACATTTTGTAATAAATAACTGTGAACGATGTTTTTATGTTATAAATCTCGGCATTGTGTGTACCAGGCTTCCTTCAATGTATTTGGAATGAATTTTCTTTTTTTCGTCTTTTGCATGGATGTGAGGGGGTTGTGATAAGAGAGATTTTTTTTGTTTTTCCCATTGCTGTGCCATTTTTATTTATTTTTGCTTATGCTGCTCTCGTGTGCGACTTTTTTTCCTTCCATGGGGTCCTACATGTGTTTTTTCCTTGCCTTCCTCTTTGCTAATAATATCGCGTTACAGCTACTTCCACAAGTTTTGCTCCAATAACCATGTCGTCGAAGCGCGAAAAACTTCCAAAGCTTGGATTCTTTGAGGAATTCATGGTGGGTGGCGTGGCTGCCGGCGTTTCCAAGACCGTCGCTGCCCCCATCGAGCGGGTGAAGTTGTTGGTGCAGAACCAGGGCGAGAT